AGTCACGGTATAGGAACTTTGAGTTAACCTCTTATATCAAATGAATCTTTTCATTTAGAGACCAATAAATCTCAATCTCTAGCTACCTTTTGTAGCCTGAGCTCAATGAGACAAGACTGAGGCTTATAATAAAGACCAGATAAAGTTTGCCAAAGTTATCCACCCCCCCCCACCATCCTTTTTTAACCAATCTAGAAAATTCCCCCATCCAACAAATAAAACTTCAGGGAAGTAGCAGTTTTTCCTCAGTGAGCAGAAGGTTGGAAATTTCTTTACCTTTTCACAGCAAGCCTGTTGACTGAAGTGGCTTTCCAAGTTCAGACATTGAAATGATTTATAGTTTTTCAACAAGTCATTATTTTGGTGTGTTGTTTAGGTGGGGCTGAGACAATCTAATAATCAGTGTAAGACTGGGGAAGGGGATTGTCTGTGACCAAGTGGAGAGTTAACACCAGAAACATGAAAGCCAGTCCGGTCTCCAGGGATGGAATTTGGGAAAGAGCCTGCACACGTCTGCTCCTGGGCTATAAAGAAATACATTGTTAACAACAACAAAACAGACAATGCCCTGAGCTCTGCCTTGATTCAGAGCTGAGCTACTTTCAAGATTTTTTAGCAGCACTGTTCATTTTGATGGGGTTTCTGGGCCATTTGAAATTCAACCTTTAGCCAGCCTGCTCATGGGGTATGGTTACTACCCTTATGATTTACTACCCCTCCTCCTATATTTTCTTTATTTCCTGATGGCCCCCCACGGGGCTAATCTTTTTTTTTCCCCTTTCTTTTATATTTTCCAGTTTTGTTCTCCCCACTAACGACTCAGTGTTTTTCCTGTTTCTACTGATCACTCATTTGCTTCCTTTCTCTCTTTCCTTCCTTAAGAGACAGAGGAAAATAAAAAGAATGGGAGGGGGATTTCCAAATGGTTCCTCTCTAAGTGTTATTAATTACTGCTACAAGGCAGGTGATTCTTAACTAATAACAAAGTTGTAAATTACCACTGACTTTCAAATATTTCTCATTTGTCAGCTCTGATTGACTTGATTAATATTCCGCTCTTTGAAATAATTTTAGCCACAATTACGATCAGCTTTATCCATGAAGCAAAGAGCAGATCGTCACCCCTGCGCGGGACCCTGCCCCTCTGGTTTTACTCTTCATGTGAAGTTTTCGTTTCCATCCTGAGGCCTGATTTGGATTGGAAAGCAATGCTGGAAAGGTTCACGGGCAGTTAAAACTGCAGGGATGGAGTGGACTGGCATATACCTGCAGATGTTCAGTGATTTATATGTAATTTCAGAAACACTGTTGAGGAAATTAATCCTATTGAAAAAACCAAACAATATCATTTCCTAGGTCTCCTGAACATTTTTTTTCCCCGCCCTCCAGATTCAAGGCTGAAGGAATGGACTTTTAAAGGTTTCCTAAATTCAGGAAACCCACCCAAGCCAAGCCCCATCTCTTTTTATCGTCCTCCTTAACATTTCTAGGAAAGAGCCAGCCTACTCTCAGCTCACCTATCAAAGATGGGGATTACTGGGGGGGGGGGAGATGTGTTTATGTGTGTGTGTGGGGGGGAGCAGGTCAAAGGGGTTCCCAGGACAGGAGCAAAGGGAAGACCTCACATTTTGGGAAGGGGGTTATATTTTCCAAAGTTCCCTTTCCCTTTCACCATCATATCCAGAATGCAATTTTTGAAGCTATCAATACCCGCTGCCTCCAATACCTCTCGAGTTTTAATCTTAATTATATTATTAAGTGAAGTACTGTGCTGTCAGGGAATTGAACATGATTTATGACGTTGGCCTATTAAAGGATCGATTGTGAATATCGCTACTATCATCTATCAATATTCTTAGGCCAGGGGTATTTCTCGCTCTACGGTTGTTATTTGTAATACCGAAATGATAGACTGCAGGAAAAGACTATTTCTTCTTCGCAGGACTAGCTTTCCAGGTGCAGCAGGGAGTCCGTGTGGGGAGGCAGGAGACTCTGCCTGTTCCAACCACATCTCACACCCAGAGAGATTCTAAAGATTTTTTTTTTTTTTTAATCGTAAAACCAGTGAAGTCTCCCTTAGGTCTCCTAGAAGAAGGCAAGCCGGAGTCGTTTTTAGGGAAAGAAGTAACCTCCGTAGGTCGATATTAGGGACGAGCGTTTTCTAGCTGCCAGGTGATTTGCAAGGAGACTAGAAAGAAAAAAACGGCAACGAGGGGGGCCCCCTTTACACAAGGATATCTGGATGGGGGCTGGCGGGGAGTGCTGGGGGCAGACAATATATTTTTGGAGCAGATGCCCTGGCCCTGCCTCTGCCCTTGGACTCGGAGGCGTCCAATTTCTGGGATCAATCAAGCCTCTCTACTCCAAGCCACCCATGCAAGGACACTTCTACCTGCCCCCGCCTCCTCTGCATAGGTGGAGGCGGGTGCGAAACGCGCCGCGGCTAAGCCGGAAGGAGCCTGAGCGCGGAGGCCTTTTGTCTCCAGACAGAGCTCAGCGCCTGCTTTTTTCCACCCTCTCGGGGCACGGCACGGGGTCACCGGCGAGTCTCAGTCTCTGCTTTAGGGGGATGGGAGGGGAGGCAGTGAATGCAGCAAAACTCCTGCTCTCGGGAGCGGCCTCGGACCGCCAGCTGGAGAAACCCCGCGGGCTGTGGCGGGGCCGGGAGCGGCCTGAGTGCTCCCAGGGCCTCCCGGCCTGCGCCCTGCTGCTGCCCGGGGCGCGCACCAGGCCTTGGAGGCCGGAGACTGCCTCCTCGGCTGCCGCGGCCCCGGAGTCGGTCAGGCGCCCCCCTGGCACCGCGAGGGAGGCGCACCTCGCCCGGAGCAGTGCGGCCGCGCCCTGGGCGGGAGGAGGCGCAGGACGCGGGGCCCGCGGGCCTGGCTGTGAGCCTGGCCTCGGCTCGCCGAGCGTTCGCCATCCGCCCAGGCCTGGCCTTCGCGGCCCTCACTGCCCAGTCTGCTTTCTTCTGGCGTTCCAGTGCGAAGAAGTGGGAATGTCACTGGAACCTGTTTGGCCTTCCCTCTGCCCGGCCACAGCCGATGGCAGGCAGGGGGGGAGGACGCCTTGGCCCCGCTCCTGGCGCCCAGCAGCGTCCCGCCTCTCCTGGCCCAGAGAATACGGTTCCGGGTAGAAACCTCTACCCGGGCCACCCAATCGCACCTACCTAGCTACCTGCCTGCCCTAGCCCGACTTCCCTGCTCCGAGGCTACCCTTGGTCACTATGGTTTGCCCTCAGATTTGGAGGCTCCCAGGGGTATGGGCACAGTAACTGGTACATAGTAAGCACTCAATAAATGTTAGCTGTTGTAAGCATGAGGCACATCAGGTCTCCTCCGTGGGCATCTCAGTCTCTCACAGACCAATCACTGCCTAGCTGGGGTCCCCAAGACCCCAGGGATTGGCCAGCTACCCCAGCCCCCTCTGAGCCCTGGAGCCACAGCCCTCTACCGTAAAATGCCCGTAAAACACCCGAGACCTCTGCGGTTCTTGCCCCAGGGTGTTCGTCCAGGCCTGGACCACCGGGAGCAGAAGAGGCTGAAGCCTGAAGCAAATGTTAGCGGGTCCCTATTGCAGGTCAGCGCCAGGGCAGGGGAATTTCGGCTAAATAAGAACATCCTGGGACAGGGGATGGTGGTTCGTCGTTTAAAAACAAACCATAAAAAAGGGACCCTTTGGTGAGGGACAGAGAGAGAAAGAGAGAGAGAGAGAGTGTGTGTGTGTGTGTGTGTAAGGAGGGGTGGGGATCAGGGGCAGGCCGAGGCAGGAGGAGCAAGAGTAGATGAGTCAGAAGCAGCGGAATGACACCTTTTTCTTCCAGAAACAATTATCTGGGTAAGCTTTTAATCGCCAGGCCGAAAGGAATGAGTTGTCGGAGACAGCGCCACTCAATATATGTACAACGCCGTGTAGCCGGGTTTTGTTTACGATCTTAAATAAATACAACTCCGTCTTCCTGATTCTTCTTATCAGTCATACTAAAAGTATTGTTGTTGTTATTTTGCAAATAACATTTCAGTTCTCCACGGCCCTTGGAGCAGGCCCGGAGCCAAGCCCAGGACCGCGATCACTTGCTGCGCCGCGGGCTGGGACTTCGTCCCCTCATCAGCGCTTCCCTCCCCCACCCCCCAGGCTGATGGATATTCTTGGATGTGGACCCCTTTAAAAATGACAAATGTCTTGTCAATACAGACCATCCATCCTCTCTCGCTTTCTCATCGTTTTTCGGCGCGAGGAGGGACCCAGGCGCAGGCCCAGCGGCGCGTGTCACGCGGCCTGCATTGTACCGTAATCGCCAAAACCTTGGCCTAATTTGCAACTAATGTATCTCGAGCGAAGGAGTCAGCGAGAAATCAGTGGCCCAAGGAGCTAGATTTAAGCTTTGGAGGGATCGGAAATTAAGGAACTGTAAGGAGGATGTGATTCATATTATTCTCCCTCTCCCCCTCCCACACACGACCGTAAGTCTCCCCGCTCGGCCTTCGGGGACGCGGCCCTGATCTCTCCGCGGCCTGTGTCCCTGTCGCTTGCTTCTGTCGCTCCGGACTACTGTGCCTGGGGCGCCCTCCGCCTGGCTTCTCCTAGCCCCCGGGAGGAGGCGCTGGTGCCCGGGTCGGCCTCGGTCCCTCCCAGCCGGCGTCCTGGAGCCCCCATTCACAAAGCTCGGCTTGGAGGAGGCGACACACACACACACACACACACACACACACACACACACACACGCACACAGAGCGAAGAGGGGAGTTTGATCTTGTCTCATTGGCGTCTCGGGCCTGAAAGGAAAATCGTTTGGGTAAACAGCCAAGCTTCCAGGCTTAACGCCCGGCTCCCGCCCCCGCCCCTCCGCCCCCTCCCCTGCCCCCTTCCCC